AGTTCTTTATTTGCCATTTATCTAATGTCTTTCCAAGGTGTCTGTTCAAATTCTTGTCCATCTTTCTTTTTGGTTTTTATTGATTTGTAGCTCTTCATACTGTCTGGATACAATGCCCTTTGCTCCTGTATCTTTCATATATTTTTCTTACACTATGGTTTTTCTTTTCACTCACCATCTAACTTTATGAATTTTAATATCAATTCTTCCCTTCATGATTAGATGGTATTTTTGTGGAGGCAACCTATTTTATTAGAAAATTTTGCCTTCCTTAAAGTCACTACGTTGTTCTATTTTTTTTCACATTTAAATACATAATCTAACTGGAATTGATTTTTCATATAGTATATGAGACGAAATTTAAGACTTGAGAGAGGAAGTATGGATATCTTAATTGACCCTAAATCATTTATTTTAAAAACAGTACAAAGTGTCATTTTTGTCAGAAGTCAAATTTTCATATATGTCATAGTGGTTTGTTTCCTAGTTCATTTGTTTTGAGGCAGGATCTTTCTATGTAGACCTGATTGGCCTGGTATTCACTATACAACCCATGCTGGACTCAAACTAGCCTAATACTTTCCTGTCTCTTCTTGGTAGTCTACACGTCATTTAAGTTTCAGAATCATCTTATAAAATTCCACACACCCCCAAAAAGCTATTGGAATTTTAATGCAGCTTAATTAGAACCCATAGATCAGTTTGCGGAGGAATAACACATTTATAATACTGAGTTTCCAAGTTAAGTAAATATGTCCCTCCTATATTTAAATTATCTTTAATTTCTCTATGTAATACTCTTTAGTTTCCTGTGTAGAGTCCTCATAAATCTTTCATTAATTAATTCACAAGTAGTTGATTATTTTGTTATACTGTAATTATAATTAATGTTACTTTATAATTGTTGCTGTTATAAAGGAATACAATTAAAATTTCTGTATTGATATTTTGACCAATAAATTTGCTGAATTCACTTCTAATATCTAGAGACTTTTTTGTGTGTGTGTTTTTGAGACAGGGTCTCCCTGTAGCCTCAGCTGACCTGAACTCACTATGTAGACCAGGCTGGCCTTGAACTCACAGAGATCTGCCTGCCTCTGCCTCCCAAGTGCTGGGACTAAAGGTGTGCTCCACCACGCCCGGCCTATCTAGAGATTTTAAAAAATTACTACATACATAATTATCAGCAAGTAGCTATATTAATTATTTCCCAACCCTATACTTTTTTCTTATTTCACATGCCAAGAACTCTAATATTGTCTGAAATAAAAGAATTAGTATCAGATGTTCTTGTTTCATTCATAGTTTGAGAAATTTTCCAATATTTCACCATTAAGTGTAGGTATTTTGTAGATACCTTTTATTCTAAAGAAAATTTCCATTTTTAGCTTGCTAGGACATTTTAGATGTATGTCAAACTTAAACACTTTCCTTGGTTTTCTTTAGAGAGCCATATCAGTTTTCTCCTGTAATCTATTAATTGGTGACACTGATTTTAAAATGCCAACTTGCATTCTGGATTATATTCTAATTTGTTACAATGCATCATTCTTTTTGTATATGCCAGAATTTGACTTGACATTTGGTTGAGTGCTTTTCATCTACAACATGAGAGATTGGCGTGGAGTTTTCCTTTCTTGTGTTGTACTTGTCAGATTTTGATATTAATAATGTGCTGCCTCATAAAACAATTTGATAAATGTTCCCTCTCCACTCTCTGTTTTGTTTGATACTGACACTATTTTTGCCTACAAACATTTGCATGATTTCCTAGAGAATCTGTCTAGGTCTGAAATCTTTAACAGAGTTTATGTTGCAGATGAAATTTATTTTTCTGGACGATATAGGATGATTCTCACTTCTCTTTCTTCTTGTGTCAACTTTGTAAGATGAGAACATCAGAGGATACCCTCAGGTATTGGCCCTCACTTTCCTCCTTGTGTCAGACAGGGTTTCTCAATGTGTATGCTTAGCCTGTGAGCCTCCAGGGATTCTCCTTTCCCCCACCTCACCATAACAGCTTTGGGATTACAGCATGCTGCTGCATATGGCTTATAGGGTTCTGAAGAGCCGAACTCAGGTCTTCATTGCAAGGCAAACATTTCACCCACTGAGCCATCTCCCCAGCTGTACTTGTACTATTAGAGTCATCTGTATTTTCATGTTTTTTCGGTGTGTGGGGATGTGTTTTGCAGTGCTAGGGACTAAACTCAGGGCCTTATGCAAGGTAGGCAAGTGCCTACCTTGAGTTACATCCCCAGCCCTCTTACTAATTAAAAACAGATCTATGCGGTCTATCACTTCCTAGAATTATGTGGAATTTCCCACAATAATTGTGGGCTTCCCTGTTTTTCTTTAGCTGTCATTTTTTCTTTATTATTTTGAGATACATTATTAGTGTATATGTTACTTATTTCATATATTTTTACTGAGTTGACCCCTTTATTTTTGCATACTATCTCTCTGTAGCAGCTTCTGTCAACTATGCACTGTGGACATTTGGAGCAATGAACTGGATAGTTTCATTTGTCAACTTGATAGACCTGGGTAGAGGGCATCTCAACTGAGGAATTTCCTCCATTGGATTGGTCTGTGGCCATGTCTATGGGGCATTTTCTTGATTACTGGGTGATGTGGGAGGGCACAGTTCACTATGGGTGGCACCATCCTTGAGCAGGTGGTCCTGTGTTATACAAGAAAGCAGGCTGAGCACAGACCAGGGGAGCAAGCCAGTAAGCAGTGTTCCCTCATGGTCTGTGCTGAATTCCCTTGGTGATGAATTGTGACGTGGCAGACATAAGGAAAAAAAAAAAACCAAAAACCAAAAAACCTTTTCTCCCCAAGTTAGTTTTGGTCAGTCTTTACACCACAGCAACAGAAAGTAACTAGAACAAGTAGGATGATTCCTTGTTAGGTGGGAGGTGCTGTGCTGTGCTCTGTAGACTGTTCAGCAACACCCTTTCCAACACACTATATGGTAGTAGATTCAACCCTAGTTCTGAAGATCAAAAGTATCTCTAGATATTCCCTGGGGGGAAATTACTCCAGGTTAAGCACCACCAATTCATAATAATGCTTTGTGTCTTACAGTCTATTTTGTTTGATACTAACAGTCACTATTTGAACCTGCAAATGTCTTATTTTCTTTCTCTCTTGCTTGGCATGGTGGCTCACACCTATAATCCCAACACTTTAGAGGCTGAAGCAGGATGATTACAATGAGTTCAAATTAAGCCTGGGTTACAATGTGAAACTGTTTAAAGAAGAGGAGGAGCAGGAAGAGGAGAACAGCAGGGAAGAAACGGAGGAGGAGGAAGATGAAGGGGAGGAGGAGGAGGAAGAAGAGGAGGGAGGAAAGGAGGGAGAGAGGGAGGAAGGGAAGGAAGGAAGGGAGGGAAATCTTTCTTGAGGAATATGAAGTTGTCTTTTTAATTCCATTTGACAATCTTTTAGTTGGAAAATTTGTTCATCTTAAATGCAATCATTGATAGATTTGAGTTTATCTATTCCATGTAATTATTTCATTTCTTCCCTTATTTCATTATTTTGAGCATTCATTTATTATTACTTTAGTAATTATCCTAAGATTTACTACATTTTTTTGAGACAGGGCCAGCCTAGAACTCACTATATAGACCAGGCTGGCCTCAAACTCAAAAGAGCCACTTGCTTCTGTTTCCTGAATGTTGGACTAAAGGTATGTGCCAGCACACCCAGCCATATTCATCTTTAATTTGTTAAAATGCAGTATCTTGCACTTTTGCTAATTCTGCATATCCTAGGAACACAATCTTGCTTTTTGAGTTTATATTTTAATACATAAAATTGCACATATTTATGGGGTATCATGTGATATTTTAATTCAGTGTATACGCTGTATACTTCTTATAAACTTTTGGCATGTGTGTGGTGTACACATGTATGTATTCTCGTGCTCACACATATGGGGTATACATGTGTGCGCATGTGTGTGTGTGTGTGTGTGTGTGTGTGTGTGTACATGCATATGGAGGCCTAAAATTGATGTTGGGGGTATTCCTGGACTATTCTGTACCATCCCTGAGGCAAGGTCTTTCAATGAACTCAGAGCTCATCTCACTGATATGGCTAATGTAGCTAGGCAGCTTGCTCTGGGGATTCCCATCTCTGCCTTCCAAGTGTGGGAATTACAGGCAGGCTAACACATTCACCCAGCATTTACACAGGTTCTAGGGATCCCAATTCCAGTCCCTGTGCAGCAAGTGCTTTATTCACTGAGCCATCTCCCCAGTCCTTCTATGAATTCTTAATTCTCTATATAGAGCCTAAACAAGTAATCATTACCTAATTAAAACATTTTTATTTTGATTTACTGCAATATTTATTTTCTCAACTGTTCATTTCTCCCTGCATCTCCTGGCTTTGATTTAGGATCATTTTCTTTTTGTCTGGCTAGCTCTCAGTATTTCATTTAGTATAAATTTGCTGCTGCTGTTCTCCAGAGTTCCATGTCTGTATCCCTGTTGTCTTTATTTCTCCTCTATTTGAACGATAGCTTGCTTGCTTGCTTGCTTTAGAATTGGGACTGACAGGTATTTCTTTCTGTTGGTAAGTCAGCTCCTCCTCTTGTTGCTGAATCTCTGAAGATAATGTCGTTTTGACCATCTTCTTTTCATATAATTTGTCTATGTGTTTCAGTAATTTTATGATAATGTTCTTAAGTGCAACTGTCTTTGTATTTATCATAATTGGGATTCAAAATGCTTTTAAACCCAGAGCATCGTATCTGTCTCAGTCAATTCTGGCTACTGTAACAAAAACACCATAGACAGACAGCTTAAACAACAAATGTTTATTTTCAATTTTGGAGGCTGGAAAATCCACAATCCAGGTGCCAGGAGCACCAACGTGTGGCAACAGTGCTCTTCCTGGTTTACAGATGCCATCTTCTCTTACAATGGACAGAGGAAGAAAACTCTCTGGTATCTCGTCCCATAAAGGCACTGATCTCATCATGAAGTTTCCACCCTCTTGACTTAATCACCTGCCAGAGGCCTTGTTGTGTGACTTTTCCTGGGGAGGTATAAACAAATGTCTACTCACCCCCAAACAGGGCACCAGAGACAGACCAGAGAATGATTCCCCTCAAATCTAGCTTAGTGACCCAGTGAGTTTATCCAGGTTAGCTACAGGAGTGTGAGTCAGGGCTTATGAACAGGAGCTCAGATGACCGAAGGCAGCTGCATCAGTGAAAAGCCCACCCCAACAAAGGCCATGGAACCTATGAAGCTTCATCTTTGGAGCTCCCTGAATGATTCGCACGTAGCCAGGCTGCTCAGGGTCTCTCCCCTGCGTCTTTTTCGGCTCACATAATCATGAACGGGGGCTTTGTGCATTTGTTAAGTCTTGGGAGCTTCCTGAGTCTTAAGGACCCTCCCTCTAGGAGAGAATTTTCTATTCAGAGGAAAGAGTTATGCAGCCGATGACATCCCCAAACACTATCACATAGAAAATTAGGGTTTCAACATGGAAATTGGAGGGGGCACATACAGATATCCAATCCAAAGCAATACTTTGTTTTGAAAAAGTCATCTATCACTGAGTTCAATACTACTTTCCCTCTAGGAGAAAATTTTCTATTCAGAGGAAAGAGTTATGCAGCCGATGACATCCCCAAACACTATCACATAGAAAATTAGGGTTTCAACATGGAAATTGGAGGGGGCACATACAGATATCCAATCCAAAGCAATACTTTGTTTTGAAAAAGT